ACAACAACAGGGTCGGTTCTTTGATTTGGAAGATGCCGCTGACCTGCCCTATTACTACTTGTGAGTCGCTCCAACATTGTATTCTTGAGATGCCCAAGTCTTTTGCCAGTCGTAGGCCCGCCAAAAGGGCTTCATACTCAGCCTGGTTATTGGACGCTTTGAAACCGAAACGAAGTGACTGCTCGACAACTACGCGGCCCGGTCCTTCCAAGATGATACCCGCTCCACTGCCCTGTTTGTTCGACGATCCGTCTACATGCAAGGTCCAAAGGTGTGCTTCGGGGGTCGCCGTCGACGTGAACTCGTTTAAGAAATCGGCTAAGCTTTGTGCCTTTATGGGCCCACGTGGTTCGAATCGGATGTCGAACTGTGATAATTCGATGGACCAGGAGACCATCCGTCCCGCCAATTCGGGTTTTTGCAGAACCTTAGTTATGGGAGCGTCAGTTCGGACGAGCATACGGTGACTCTGAAAGTAGTGCCTGAGGCGTCGAGAGGTGTGGACGAGGGCGAGGACCGTTCTCTCAAGATGTTGGTATCTGGTTTCGGCATCTTGCAGTACTCGGCTGATGAAGTAAATCGGCATCTGTTCTGATTTCTCTTGCACCAAGACGGTGCTGATGGCCTTGTCGGATACTGATATGTACATTATCATGTCCAGCTGGGGGTCGGGTTTAATCAACAACGGAGGGGTAGCGAGTATCGCCTTGAAGCTGTTGAAGGCTGACTCGCACTCGTCGGTCCACTTGAACTTGGTGGCTTTCTTTAGAAGGGACATAATGGGTCGTGATCTGTCTGCCATGCAGGGCAGGAACCGAGCCAATGAAGCTATTCGTCCTGCCAAGCGCTGTACTTCTTTGATATTAATCGGACTCCTCATGTTGATGATAGCCTGACACTTGTCAGGGTTAGCCTCTATCCCCCTTTGTGACAACATGAAGCCTAAAAACTTTCCCCCCGCTACTCCGAATGTGCACTTAGCCGGATTCAGTCGCATGGGATGGCGTCATACTTCGTCGAAGATGGAGCGTAGGTCTCTGATGTGGTCGGGTCCAGAAGCGGATTTGATCACCATATCATCTACGTACACTTCCAGACTTGTCCCAATTTGGTTACGGAAAATCTTGTCCATGATCCTTTGATAGGTTGCCCCCGCGTTCTTCAAGCCGAACGGCATTACCTTGTAACAATAGTTTGCCAAATCAGTGATGAACGCGGTTTTGGCTTCGTCCGGGGGGTACATGGGTATCTGATTATACCCGGAATAAGCGTCCAGGAAGCTTAATCTGAAGTGGCCGGCCGCGCCATCGACTAGTGCGTCGATGTGAGGGAGAGGGTACGCATCCTTTGGGCATGCCTTATTGAGGTCGGTATAGTCAGTACACATCCGCCACTTGCCGTTTGACTTCTTGACCATTACTACGTTGGCCAGCCAGGTGGAATACCTAACTTCCCGAATGAAGCTTGCTTGTAACAACTTAGCTGTTTCCTCTTTGATTGCTTGGGCCCTTTCTCCACCCACTTTCCTCTTCTTTTGTGCGACGGGCTTTGCATCTCGACAGATCGAGAGCCGATGGCAATGAAAGTTTGGGTCGATGCCTGGCATGTCACTAGCTGTCCATGCGAACAGGTCGGAGTACTTCAGGAGAACTTGCTTGATATCTCTTGCTTCAGTTTCTGTTAAATGGGAACTCAGGTATGTGACTTCTTCCTCCCTAGTTCCAAGCTGGAACGGGATGGTCGTTTCTGTCGGCTCGACTCTATGTTCGTCTTCGGCTCTGGGATCAAGTTCTAAAGCATCTATCTCGGGTGAACCAGTGTCTCCGACGACGTTGACATCTTGACGTCGGGTTGGTTTCGGCATTGGTTGCACCTTCAGGCTGGCAAGGTAGCATTCGCGGGCTGTCTTCTGGTCTGCGTGCAAGGTGATGATCTCTCCCCCTTCAGACGGAAACTCCATTGCCAAGTGGGGGGTAAAGACGATGGCCCTCAGCTTATTCAAGGAGGGTCGACCTAGAAGAATATTGTACGATGTATTAGCATTTACTACCACATACTGTACTTTGATTCTTCGTCCTTGCCGGTCATCTCCAAAATAAGTGTACAAGTCTATTGTTCCCCGAGTGTCCACGCGTTCACCTGAGAATCCTACCAATGGCTCGTTGTATGCTGCTAATTCCTGTTCAGGGATGCCGAGTTGTTCAAAAGTTTTCCAGTAAAGGATATCGGCCGAGCTTCCTTGATCGACGAGAGTTTTTCTCACGATACAGTTGTTGATTTCCACACTGATGACCATGGGGTCATCTTGCACTGGGTCGACGCCCTGAAAATCTTGATCAGTGAACGTGATGGGAGGCATATGAATGGCAGCTACCCTGTCAACAACATTGACCGACTTGATTGCCCTCAGGTGTCTTTTCCGTGCCGAAGACGACCCTCCGCCCCCTGCGAAGCCCCCGGCAATGGTGTTTATGACTCACCTGGGCTGATTGCGGTCTCGTTGATCGTTTCTTTCTTGGGACCTACTGCGCTCACGGGATCTGTTCCGGGGAGGTGCTTGGTCTCGACTGTCTCTTCTACGCTCCCCTCTCCCCGAGCGGTATTCGTTTCTTCTACTATTTGTTGCTTGTATGAAGTTTCGGAGGTGGCCGGCTTTGACTAGGTCTTCGATGCGATCCCGAAGGGCGGAACATTCCTCCGTCGTGTGTCCTCTATTTCGATGAAATTGACACGCTTTAGTCTTGTCGGCGTGAGGAGGGGTCATAGCTCTACGAGGAACGGCTAAAACTTCCGTAGCCAAAGCTTGCTCCAACACCTTGGCCCTGCTAGTGTTGAGCGGAGTATATTGCATATACCTTGGACCTCTGTTGTTATTCTTTTCGCGATCAATATGCTCACGAGGACGAGACTTGTGGGGTTCCTTGTCATTTTCTCTTCTCACAAGGGATAGGTCGGATCGGTTTTGGTTGCGGAACTCGGCCAGTTCCTCCATCTGCATGTACTTGGTGGCCCTTTGTCGCAGGTCGTCCAAGTCGTATGGCGGTTTTTTGCATAAACTATTGACAAAAGGCCCGGGCCGTAACGCAATGGTGAGGTGATGCATGGCTACAGTCGGGTCTAGGTTCCGGATAGACAATGTCATCTTTCCGAACCTTTCCATAAAAGCTCTTAGAGGTTCTTTCTTCTCTTGGCGTATATTAATTAACGCGATGGATGTGAGCTGATGAGGTCGGCTCGTAGCAAATTGTATCACAAAACGAGAGGACAACGTTGTGAACGAGTCTACCGAGCCGGGCGGGAGTCTCGTAAACCAGTTGAGCGTCGGTCCTTTCAACGAAGTAGGAAAGACCTTGCAAAGGATACTATCCTCGTCAGTATACAGGCCGACCTGGGTGACGAAAGCGTCGAGATGTTCCTCCGGGTCGGAAGTACCGTCATATTTCTCCAGAGTCATGTTCTTCCAGTTGTCAGGCAAACGAGCTCCGGCAATATCTGGTGTGAACGGCGTCCTTCCCTGGCGTCGTTGATCTTGGGTCGTAGTTGGTCCACCCGATGGCCGAGAGGTGTTAACTTCCTTGTACCATCCTGAGGATTCCCCCTGGTCCCGGATTGACTGATATTGTGCATCATGTGTGGGGTGCCATGTTTTGTTATCGCTCCTGAGCTCAGCATTCTCTTTTCTCAGGGCTGATAATTCGTGCGCGTCTTTCTCTCGGAGCCTTCTAAGTTCCATCATTTCGGCCTTCAGTTGCTCGAGCGCCGAAGATGGATTAGGTTGTTGAGAACGGTCTACATATGATTCTTCCATTCCGTCATTCTGATTGTTTTGCCGCATGGGAGTACCTTGGGGCATCCCGAATGGATAATCGGTTGCGGCGTTATCCTGTTGACTTCTCGTAAGTACCATCTTGCTCTAGGGTTGAGAACCGTTCTGGTTTCGGCCCCACGGTGGGCGCCAAAATGTTCCTACGTAAGAACACTCTTCTTCTAGCTCCTTCCTTACTATCTTCAAATCCTTCTAAGTCTTCGGTGCCGACCGAACACTAACTCAGTGGTGGGGGAGGGTACCTGCAAAGGCACTCCGACGATCAAGTCAGTACTCGGTTCAGAGCAATGAATGCTTTATAATGAATAGTAACGTACCTCATTTATGTCACATCACCTGTATATTTATAGTGACATGTTTGGGCCTGGTGGGCCTTCATCCTTGGGATGTGGGTAATACGTGACTTATCCTTAATCCTGTCTTAATCTGGCCTGATAATTAGTATCTTAGTAGGTATTTGGTTTTCCACGTGTTCATCATGGGTTTTTCACTGTTTTCGGCTAAGCATAAGGCCGAAGGGGTGTTCGGCCAAACTTGGGACCGGAGGAGTGTTCGGCCAAGTTTGGGGCCGAAGGAGTGTTTGGCCAAGCTTGGGGCCGAAGGAGTGTTCGGCCAAGCTTTGGGCCGAAAGGGTGTTCTTGAGTAACCACTTCTCTTTGGGTGTCTTTCCTAAGGAACTGAAGGAGTGTTCGGCCTAGCCCGAGGCCGAGGGGGTGTTCTGTTAGGTATGGTGCCGAAGGGGGGGGGGTTGTGGTTCCTTGGTTCGGGCCCCCCTTTCGGCCTATTGTCTGACCGAGGGGGTGCCAATTGGTATGGCTCTTCGGTTCGGGCCACCTTTTCGGTCTATTGCCTGACCGAAGGGGTGCCAATAGGTATGGCTCCTCGGTTCGGGTACCCCTCTCGTCCTATTACGTGACCGAAGGGGTACCCACCGGTACAAGGGGAATTAAGCTACGTCTATCTCAATTTCCTAATGAACCTAAGCTGCAAAATGAGCTAAAGCTAATTGGAAAGTGGATAGTGATCAAGGGACTTATGATTCAAACAGATACAAGTATTTTGCTATGATATCTCACTGTGTATCACTTTTCATATTGCATGTGCACAGTCAGTGAATTCTTCTATTATGTATTTAATGTTTTGATCCACCTGAATGTGCTTTTACTTCTCACTGTCAGGCTCAAATGCGAGATTTAACTGGCTTTGTTGAGACACGACAACAACTTTTGACACTCAAGTCAAATCACCGCATGAACTGGATTGGCTTTGCTGTCGCACACCATTTAAACTCAAAGTATGATATTTTAGCTTTTCCCCTCCCGTTTTTAGTATAGAAATTGCCAAAATGATAGGCGTTAAACCTACTAATTTTAAAACCTTCTTTGTCAAAAAGGTTTTAAGTGGAGAGTAGAGTTGAGTCCAGTGGAACTAGTAAAGAATCACTTATTTTTACTAAATTAAAAGCACAAGAATAAATAGAGAAAGGGGGTTTTGAGTAGGCTATTAAATAAAAAACTAGAATTAAAATTTAATTTAAATTATAAACAAAAACATTAAAATTAAATTTTGAGTAAAACTTTAACACAAGGTATAATCTCTCAAGTCTAGTTCCTAGTATCAATCATTAGTTCAAAGATGTGCCTTTTCCTATTGGATAAATTATGATAAGCTCCAGTAACCAATCTCTCCTTACTTGGTAACCAAGGAAAGTTCATTGATTGCTTCCTTTACCTATAAACAATCCTAAACAAACTCTTAGGATTCAGCCCATAAAAAGCATTAATTTCTAGAGGTACCTAATTTTAACCAATAAACTTACCAGCTTGGTTTATTTAAGCTGGATTGCATCTCTACACAACAAAGACCATTGTTTACCCCTAATTATTAGAACTAATCTTGTAGGGTCTAGGATATGACAAACCTGGTAATGTTGTGGTTGGAGATTTTGGATCAAATGTTTAAATTGCATCAAAACCACAATTCTGCTCTGAAGCTTTGCTTCATAATTCCCTGGCTTAGGTATTATTGATAGGTGTTATTCAAATGGCATAATTTTATTTTTGTAGTTTGTTGTACTGACATTATTAATATGCAACAGTGCATCAAAGGCTATTGAAATTCTGGAAGTGTATGAAGGGACATTGGAAGATGATTATCCTCCAGAAAATGAACGCTGTGAGCATGGGGAAATGCTTTTGTATAAGGTCTTTCCTCTGGCTGTTGCTGCGGCTGTTTCTTGTTTAATGCATATTGCACAATGCCTCTTCACATATTTTTTGTTTGATGTAGCTTTTACCTTTGCCATATAAAATGATAGGATTTGAATGTGTTTTTATCGTTCACGAGATTTTGTGAAAGCCAATGATAGCCCTTAGGATTATAGTCATTATAAGACAAATAGAGAACTTACTCAGCATCTATAATTTCATGTTTGGATAATATCTTGCTCTAGTCAAATTGTATTTTGTTGAATGATAATATCTTTCATATGGTTCAGATGCCTCTATTAATATTTCCCTGACATGGTGATTTTCTGCATCAAATATCTTCTTTCAGATCTCTTTGTTAGAAGAATGCGGATTTTTTGAAAAGGCTCTTGAGGAGTTGCAAAAGAAAGAGTTAAAAATTGTAAGTGTGCTTTTATTGATTGAGGTAGTTTGATAATTGAACTTGGTATGAATGAGAAGCATTATATCTTTCCTGTTTCTGATTATGTCTTTAGGTTGATAAGCTTGCATATAAAGAACAGGAGGTTTCACTTTTAGTCAAGCTTGACTGCTTAGAAGAAGGGGAGAAATTGTACCGGGCATTACTTTCCATGAATCCTGACAATTATAGGTGATATTTCAGGCTAGTTCATTTTAGATTTGAATGCTTCAGTTGCAATGTCTGTCTAGATGTTTTTCTTCTTTATGTCTTTCCACTGTTTCCTTTGTGCTTTAGGCATGGCAGAAAAGGGCATTTCAGTTGCCTTAATCCTTATTTCATTTATCTCTTTCTGGATTGATAATCTTTAGTTTGTATTTTATTTTTCTTTGATATTACTGACTTTTGGAAGCAGGAGAAAATTTTAGGGTGTTTTTGATTGTGTCTTAGTTCTTAGAAACTATTTATAAAACAATTTTCAAAAACTGGTTTTTAGAAAGTTAAAAGTGGGGAAAGAAGATGTAAAAGGGTATGGGTGTTGTGTTGTCTCATGGCGGCCATGGCGGAACTTTAACACACCACCATGATATGACGGTGATGTGGCAGATTTCAAATGACAGTTACCATACCTGTGGTGGCCATGACACCCATGGAAGAAAATAAAATGGGACTTAGGCCATGTTGCCTGGCCTGATACTGGTCCAGAAAAGGGAATAAAATCCTACAATAAAATAATAAACGTACTAAGCTCTTCCTAGTTTCCCTCATGAAGCTGCTTCTAAGTGAGTAACTGTTCATCAGCTTCCTCTGGCTCCAGCAATACTGTCCACTGGCAACCCCATCTGGTGATTTTTTTTAAAATTTTTTTTTCTGCGGTATTTTTTTTGTTATTAATTCTTTTTTGTTTAAAAAATATTTTTAATTTTTTTTTCGTTTTCTTTAACTCTGTTAAGCTTCTATGTATTTTTTTTCTTCTTCTATCTTTCTCTTTGGTGAACTATATCATTTATTTTATTAACTTCTTTTTCTTTCTTTATTTTCATCTTTTTTATTGCTTATTTAATTATGTTTTTTCTTCTTCTAATTAAAGTCTTTATTCAATTTTATTTATTTATTTTTTTTCTAATTCTGTTCTTGACTCTATTTGTTCATTTAATTTTTTCTTTTTCTTAATTTCTTTTTCTGCTTATTCAATTCTGGCATTTTTTTTTCTATTTTCTTGCTTATTCAAACCTGTTATTTTTTATCTTGTTTTGAACCTTTGAACTTGATGAAATTGAGGCTGTTAGTTTATGTCTTTCATATTTTTCAGGAATTTAGGCTACCGTTCTTGACATATTTTATTAGTATTTTTAGTTTTTTTATTTATTTCCCTACTGTTTTTTAGTTCGTGTGTGTGTAAATATTGTCCGCCATTGGCTGCCATCCCATCTGCGATATGTAAGTGGTGGACTTTTTGTTCGCCATTATAATCTGCCATCCACCATTTATAACACTAAAGTGCAAGAGAAGAGCATGAGTAATAGAAGTTGAAAGTAGAGAACTAAAACAATTTAGAGATATTCTGGTTTTCTGTTTTTAAAAAGTAAAAAAAGAGATTATTTTTGAAATCAGTTTTTAAAAACTACTCTAATCAAACGAGGTTTTTTTTTTTTTTTTTTTTTTTTATAATTTTAGCTGGCACCTCCGACCTCGGAGGCACCGGGGTCTCGACAGCGTCGCCTGCCTGCAAAAACTGGCCTCATGTCAAGAAACAAGAGACTAACATACAAGATAGAGGAAAAAAAATGAAAAGCGAGGTAAAGAGGGATTCTTGGAAATAAATGGATGAAATAAATCACAAATAGAAACCTGCAAGGCTCTGCCTTTTCGAAGGCTTTTTATCCTTCGAAACTCTCTGGGAACGTGATTTAACTCTCTTTTGTCCATTAACAGGCACCATAGAATGGTCAGACTTGATGAAATTGAGGCTGTTAGTTTATGTCTTTCATATTTTTCAGGAATTTAGGCTACCGTTCTTGACATATTTTATTAGTATTTTTAGTTTTTTTATTTATTTCCCTACTGTTTTTTAGTTCGTGTGTGTGTAAATATTGTCCGCCATTGGCTGCCATCCCATCTGCGATATGTAAGTGGTGGACTTTTTGTTCGCCATTATAATCTGCCATCCACCATTTATAACACTAAAGTGCAACAGAAGAGCATGAGTAATAGAAGTTGAAAGTAGAGAACTAAAACAATTTAGAGATATTCTGGTTTTCTGTTTTTAAAAAGTAAAAAAAGAGTATTTTTGAAAACAGTTTTTAAAAACTACTCTAATCAAACGAGGTTTTTTTTTATAATTTTTTTATTTTAAAAGCAGAAAACAGATTCTAAAACAAGAAATAAATAGATGGTTAATGTTTCATTTTATTGTTTCGATTCCATGAATGCCTCAAAAATGCTTTGGGTCATAGGCTCTTTAAATGGTTGTGTAATAACTCCCTTTTTTCGGTATTCTGTTTGTATTTTATGTTTCTATGATCTTACTGACTAGTAGAAGCTATACAATTGTCTGTGCTTCATGTTGATGCTCAGATATTATGAAGGCCTCCAAAAATGTGTTGGATTATATTCAGAAAATGGCCATTTTTCTCCTGATGAAATTGATCGGTTAGATGCCTTGTACAAAACACTAGGGCAGCAATATAAGTGGTCTTCTGCTGTTAAGGTAAGGGCAGCCAATTCTTCTAGTTATGTATCACATTTACTTTTATAGCTTTCTTTCAGCATCACGACCTGCATTTAACTATTATTTTGACCCCTTCTGGTTGTTTCTTGTAGAATGGAAAATGCTGGTTAACTGTGAAATGGTAAATTAGTTTACTAAATGTAATCACTGTTTATTTTTGTTTTCTTCCCTTCTATAGTCATTGTATATAAACTACCCTGGTATTGATTGGGGAAAGCTCTTCAGATCAGTGTGAGTGCATTTTCCACCGATCTAAAATACATTATAGATGAATTTGTTGTGGTGTCATAATTTCAATATTTTTCTCTTATCAGCACGAGTGATACTATCTGAGCCCATTTTTTAAGAATAAATCTCATCCCACAGTATTATTTATTTATTCAGAGAATACCACTGGATTTTTTACAAAGTGACAAGTTTCGAGAAGCAGCAGATAGGTATATTAGGCCTCTCCTAACTAAGGTATGGACAGAACGTTTGGTGTTACTGCCTACTTTACTGGTTTCAAAATTAAATTGGGATTTCGTTTTGTGTTGTTTTTAGGGTGTCCCATCTCTATTCTCTGATCTTTCTTCATATACAATCAACCTGGGAAGGTCAGTTTTATTGCTAACATTCTTCTGCTTAAATAGTTTGGTTTCTACTATTATATCATATAGTGGTATAAAATACTGTTTCTGACTTTGTTATGATTTTTCTCTATTTTGTCCCGGCAGACATTTTGGAACAGATCATTCTTGAGTTAGAGAGTTCAATTAAGACCACTGGCCAATACCCTGGAAGGTAAGAATTAAGATATGCATGTTACTATCTATGTTGTAGCATAGTTGTGAATTGGATTCATATGGTAAAAGTGTAAGCTTGGAACTTTTTTCTGAGATCAAATTTGGTGCTTATGTTAATATTTTGTGTTAGGAGAGAGGGAAGAAAATTAGCTAGTAACAGTCGGAGTGATTAGTTAGTTAAATAAATGAGGGAAATTAAAGGCTTCATTCTGTCTTGTATCATTTGAGAAGTGAGCATTTGCTCCTTGCGAAATGATAATTTCTTTTTTAAGAGGAAACCCATGGAGAGATCCCTCTCTCTGATTCTCAATCATTCCATAAAGTTGTTCCCTCTCTCAGATTCTCAATCAATTCAATAAAGTTGTTTGCACTTTCCATTTGTCTGGATCAATTTTCCATCTCTCCTCCTGGGTTTATAACATTACACTAGACTTTTTCTGAATTCATTACTGACACTAAAATTTAGAACGTCTAGAAAGTTTCATGAGGCATCAATGTGCTTCTTTTCTTTCGGAGGATTTACCGAATTCTGAAATATAATTTACTTAAATGCCTCTTCACTGCTCACTCTCTTGGTTAGATTTCCTGATTATTTTATTTTGATGTCCTAGTGTTGCTCTGGCCCACTGAATCTCAGCCTCCTCCCTCCCCCTTCAATTTTTTTAACCCCTTACTATCTGTCTCTCAGATATATCTCCTTCCCCATCCCCTCTTTGGTGATGGAAGCAATTCTGTATATATTATATGGAAACTAAAGACACCATTTATTGGTGGGTTTTTCGGCTGGATAAGTTGAGGTATTGGAGAAGCTTTTCCAAAATGTCATTCTTGAATTTGGGCGCATGGCCAAGTGACTTTACATGTTTTCAAGAATTTCTGTTTCATAAATGTTCTCTTTGATAAATCTATTAGCTTTCCCTTTAATGAACTTTTTGTGTCCATCTTAAAATATTTTATACAACTACAACATAATTTTTTGGTACAAAATAAAGAATGTACATCTTCGGGGAGGATAAGGGACCAAATTAGGTTTTTAGCCTAAAAAATACTATTTATCTATGTTAAGGGAGGTGAAATAGCATGAAAATACATTAAAATAGTAATTTAGCTGCAATGCAAATGCGTATTTATTATATTATATTATATATAAAATATATTATATTTAAATATATAAATTATATTTTAAATAATTATATATAAATATTTTTAAATGTATAAGTT